CAAATCTGTCATAGAAGTTCTCCATTAGAATGCCTAGCGGAGCCATGGTAGAGAAGGACTACCATTCTTGAGACCCCAGGAAGGTAGAGTATTCAAAAGCACCCCACCTCATCCTTGGAAGGCCACAAGCATATGCCACAGAACAGCTGTGTGGAATGCAGGCAGCAAAGCCATGGGGACAGGGATGCCCAAGGCCTTTATGGCCCATCTCCCATTGCAGTGTGCACAGGAAGCCTAATGTGGATCCTTAAGATTTTATCAGAAAAAAACCCACACATCATAAATTATTAATGCCTGCCCGATTAGGTTTGGATCTTGCTTTGGTCTGTTCTCTTTCATACTTGCCCCTTCCTTTCTTTTGAAATGGGAATGTATACCTTATGCCTGTTCCACCATTGTATATTAGAAACAGATAATTGGAAGTAGATAACTTTGATTTTATAGGCTCAAAGCCAGAGGAGTTTGCCTTGAGTCTCAAATGAAACTTTGCATTTTGGAGTCTGGAATTAATGCTAAAATAAATTTAGACTTTGGGACTGTTGGATTGAACAATGTACTTTTCATGTGAGAAGGACATGAATGAATTTGAGGGTGGGACAAGAACCAAATGCTAAAGTTTGAATGTGGCTTGTCCTCCCCAAAACCATGTTAAAATAAATTTATTTATTTGGTACCAGGGATTGAACCCAGGAGCACTTAACCACGGAGCCACATCACCACCCATTTATTATTATTATTATTATTATTATTATTATTATTAAATTTAGGGACAAGATCGCTAAGCTGCTGTGGTGGGTTTTGAACTCACAATCTTCTTGCCTCAGCCTCCCAAGCTGCTGGATTATAGGCATTTCCACAAAGCCTGGTTTCATGTTGAAATTTAATCCATATTGTTAGATACTGAGAAGGAAGAAATTTAATACAACTATGGTATTTAGAGGTAGGTCCTTTAAGAAGTGATTAGGATTATATGAGGTCATCAGAACAGAGAGCCCATGATTAATTACTGGTGGCTCTTTTTAAATCCTCAAATATTTATTATGATAAATCCTCAAACACTTATCATTTCTTTAAGGGGAAAATATTCAAAATCTTATAAGCAATAGATCAGTGATTGATCTCAGTCTAAAAAAAAAAAATGGGCAAGAGATGCCCATGGCAGAAAGTAGCATCAGTCTACTGATCATAAGCTTTTTAACTATTTTGGTTACAAGACCAAAAAAAAAAAAGCGCTCATTGTTTGGCCATCTGTCTCAACACTGGGAACATCAAAATTTTTAAGTCATGACCACAGATACATTTGTGTCAGGGCCTAGTGTTGGCTTTTCCTGTCTTGTTGCCGATTATGGTAATTATGCCCATCTTGTTTTTGTTAAGGATTACTATCTTTATTTCTACTATCCTGAAATGTTATCACCTCCACTGATATTAGGAAGCCTAGTTCTGTAACACCATGTCCTTTCATAAATCCCATAAAGACAGTGATGTAAGATTCCTAATGACACTTGTACCCATCTTCCTACTTCATTTCTTCATGCTTACAACAGTGCCCCCCTAGGACCTCCAGTAAGAGAGTCAGTGGTCCTTTCTCTAATCTTTTGTAATAAATTCATTCTAAAATGCCTTCGTCTCTGAATATTCTGACCTCTGTCACATTTGGGCCAAAACAGTTCTAGCAACTTCACCTCGATGATTATAATCTATTAACATATCTAAGCCTCAAAGATTCAAAAATTTCAAAAGCATGTTAAGATAAGCTCTGGGCATCTTTGTAAAGATGTTAAATCCTAAATTACCCCTTATTTAAAAAGCTTTCTCTTGTATAATCTTATATTCCATTTTTTCCTGCATCAGGATCCATTTATATATGTTTTCCTGCCTCCTATTGGTATACATTAACCAGCTCCCAAAGCTCTTTTGATCAATGATACCAATCCTCTCATACTCAACTGATAACAATTATTGGTTTAGATGTAGTGAGGGGAGGTACATTGGGTCTTCCAGAGGATAAGCATAATCTTTGGCAAAGCAAGGTATGCAGGAAATAAGACTGCTCTCTTCTATCAAGGGGTGAAGAGTAAGTTGTGTTGGCTAGAACACTCATGAGAATATTGGGATTGAAGTTTTTTCAAATGAATCCACTCAACTTCCCCTATCCAAGGTATCAGAGTAACATTTCTTTCCTAGTAGAACCTCTGTTTATTACAAGGGAAATCAGAGATCTAAATTTAATAATATTTATAATTCTCTGGCACATCTTGGGTATTATTTTCAGCCTTTCCTCTGACTATAAGGAGAATTCTTTTTAAATACTGTCATAGAGGTCTCAGGACTTTCATACCATTCCCCAAGTTGGAAGTTAATTGTTCTGAACCTATTGTCATCTTTCTTCATAGCTTCTTAACCATCTAATTTTATAATTCTCATATTTCCAATTCCTGCTCTATGAATGACCTAAATACTCTACTGTCAAGTAGAAAGCCATTAGTATGTATAGGAATTGTCACCAGTACTATAAAACAATCTCAAGGTTGAGTCTAAAAGAATATAAATGGGCACTGCCAGCATTTGCTGTACTGTTCTTTCCAACCTCAAACACCTTTACTTTACTCTCATTTCTCTACTTTTACTTTTACCCTGCATTTCCCAAATAAAGAATTTGAATTTAATCCTTTACTCAGTACCTGCCTTCTGGAGAATCTGGATGCAATAGATGCTGATGCCCCATCCTATATCCCCTGGTCCCACCTGAGTTTACATGCAGCCACAGCAGGTAATTTCCATGCTCTGATAATTTCCCACTTCAAATGCTGATGATTCATGTCTTCTCTTCCTGATATTTTTCTCCAGAACCATGAAATGATATTTCAGTGTTTCACATGAATTCCCAGAGAGTCTATCCACAAAGAATGACCCCAGTAGCTCAGAGAGGAAACTTGACCATTAACCTATCTTTTGTGATTTCCAAATAAACAGTCTACCTAAATTCTTGTCTCTGGGTCGACTTTTTGAGGAATCCAAATTAAAACAATAGATAAGACCCTAGATTTGTCACAGGAGGTTAATTCTACCCAATAACCTTGATATAATTGACTGATCTAGCCTGAATTAACTCAACCAATATAAAATAACTACACAGAAGCAAAATGTGCTGCATCTTATAAAAGTTTACAAGTAAAATGATTCACTCCAATAAATTATCAGTAAATTCCAATGGATTACAGTAAATCTGTGAAAAATGGCTTATTAAATAAATTGTATTAGGGTAACTGGCGACCCATTTGGAAAAGTGTGTGTTGGATTCCTGACTCATTGCTTCTGGCAAGGTAAATTCCAAATTTATACATAAAAACTCTGAATCATGTTGGCATTATCCCAGGAAACATAGATTATTTCAAAGTAATCTCCAGCAGAAATAAAAATCTCAGAAAATATATAAGTAGACCAGACTGATAAATCCGACTATAACTCAATTGAAATATTTTTTTACAACAAAAAATTTCAAAAAGAGAGTCAACAAGTTGGAGCACTGATCTTTTGTCTCCATACAAACACATACACTTAAAGCATGTGAATCTCCGATGTATTTTCTATGGCCAAATTTAATCAGATTATATTCTTAGTCTACTCTTCCCTGTTTCTATGACTTCACTACTAATTCTTTTTATCCTTAACCGGTACATTGTTAGCCCTCTCCACATTCTTTCCTAGAGTGCATCAAACCATAAAAAAAGTAACCACAGAGTGACAGGGGCACATAAATGGAAAACTTAGCATTGCATAAAGAAAATACATTTCCCCAAATATAACATTTAACCTCTATGGAGACAAAAGCAGAAATTTTCTAGGGCAAAAGGAGTCAGGGAGAATAGTGAACAACAGTTTGGAAATGGAAATTGCATGTACAGATGGATATGCAGAGAATAATACAGACAATTATATCCTAAACAGAAAACAGCTAGAGAATGCAAAGCTCGTAAAGCATAATGAAAAAGTGTATCAAAAAGGTCACTTTGCTCAATTTATAGAGTGCCATTTAGAAATTTTCTGGCTAATAAAAAGAGTATCTGATTATATTTACATTTTTAAAAGGTGGGCTTTCAAAAATTGCTGAGACAGACTAAGGAGAAGACAGATTGGGTACAAAACAGCTAGAAAATTTTATCAGGTACAAACGGGAGCATTTGAAATGAGCATATTTTAAATAATCATTGTTGAAGTTTAGTAGTTTTTGAAAGAGGACCAGAGTGATGTCCTTAAGGTGACAGATAAAATATTATTTTTACTTTTCCTAATACTCCATTTAAGTTCATTATCTCACTCAAATATTTATTATGTATTAAGCACTAATTCAGGTGTTGGGGATAAGATAGTGAGCAAAACAGATTAAAACAATCCCTCAAGGACTTTATGTTTCGATATTCAAAGCAAATTCTCCAAAAGGATACCCAAATTGCCAAATGAAGGTAAAGAGTAAGATTAGGCAAACTTGACTAGGAAGCACGCAGGAAACAAGTTCAGGAGCTTTTATTAAATAAACAACAATTTGTTTATATTTAACAAGAATTCACTTCTCCCTGTTGTTTACCAACTAAACACAATGAGTTAGGTGGGGCAATTATTACTATCCCTCTTTACAGATTTTTAAACAGAGCACCTGAATATTTAAATAATTTGCCCAAATTTCTAAATGTCACTCCTGGACACACTGATGTCTATTTCTTGTCTCTCCCATGAGTTATAAGAGGCAGGCCAAATTATATTGTTATATTGGGTGCATATATGAATATGTAACAACAAATCCCATAATTATGTACAACTCTAATGCACAATTAAAATGCAGGGGAAAAACACAAAAAGGATTAATTTGGGTCACTGGTTAGAGACAAAGTTTTATTTGTTACTTAAAATAATGAACAGTAGGTAAGAATACCTGTACTTAACAACAATGCTTCTGAATCCGATGGAAGGGGAGATCCCAGCATCTTTTGGTAAAATGTCAGGAATGTGCTCACTTTCAGGCATGTGTTAACATTTCTGTGGCCAAGAAACTACAACTTAATAATGCATGGAATATCAAATTGGAAACTTTTTCTTAACTTGGTGAGTGCGTTTTGGTCTCCTTGGGACTAGAATGCATTCGAGGATATCCATAAAGCCCAATAGTCAACAGAAAAATCAAAACAGACAATAAAAAAATCACGATTCCTGGTAATAAAGCTATTTTTTTTCCTAAGGGTGGGCCACTGTCAACACTACCTCCGTAGCCTCTGTGCAGACAATCGGGTGGGGACCACCCATAACCACAGTGGCAGTGATGTTTGTTATTACAGATCCCCTTCATATTGCAGGTCTCAGGAAGGCAGTCTTGTGACAAGACAGACAAACTAACACACTTTTTGTCAATACAGATCTTTCCTGTTCCACAGGCAGTGCCATCTTTCACTTCACCAATGTCAGGTATGTCCATCCCTAAATGATGGACAGAACTCCAGCAGGTGACACCATTGATGCGAGTGTGCTGCAAAACATAATGATCTTGGAGATGGGGAATGTCTTCCACATCTTCACACTGAACTCTCCCACAAAAGATGTCAGACATGTTACATTTTAGGTATACTGTGCCATTTATACCACAGTGGCCAAACTGGTTTCCTTGGGAGTTGATTTTTTGGTAGCAATTCTGAGATGCACTCTTTGCACCTTGGCCAAAAATTTCCTTGCACTGTTGGTCATGGTTATGACATCTCTTTTGATAGCAGTAGGCACTTTCACTACAAGGGATCCCATCCTGCACATACCCATCTTCTGGGCACTGATGGGATGACCCATTACACCACTCTGGAAGGTCACATTCATTGACCTGTTGTCTACAGATTTCCCCTGATGGTACGAATTTGCAGTCTTTGCAACAAAGTCCAGAAGCACAAGCAGCACCTGGCCTCAGGGTGCAGTTCACCAGACAACAAGGATCTTGCTCACACTGACGTATGGATCCACAATCACATTCCTCTTCTCTTTCAACTGCACCATTTCCACAGCGCTTCAGCAAAAATATTTCCCCTGGTTTTGGATGGTTGTGCAGACATGATCCTTGGTTTAATGTGGTCTTCATAAAATCAACATAACTGCAATTGGTAAATCTCTCTGCTGGTACTCTGAAAGTACTCATAAGGCAGCCTTTTTCCCCACAAAAGCAGAAATCCTCATCATGATACATACCCAAAGTATGACCTAATTCATGGGCCACAGTATTAGCAAAAAGAGACCAGGGGTCTTCTTGGAAATTTTCAACTCCACAATCAATAGGAGGACGACATATTCCTGCAACATAGGCTAGACCAAGTATACTTATATGTGCATTTTTTATGAAAATATGTGCAGCATCATGCTGTAGCTGGGAAAGACTGACTTGTTTCCACTGAGAAAAATCTTCTAAAACCTGTTCTATGTTTACCATTGGGAAAGCATTTCTTTGATTCCAAATCTCAATCCCAACCAAAATTACATAAGTGCTCAACTGCTGATATAAGGAATCCACTAAATTGACAATAAGAACTACATCCTCTTGCACCTTTGACAAGTTGCTTTGAGAGTAAACGAAGAAATCATGATCTACCACTACCACCAGCTCCAGAAACCATGTGTGGGTCCACCAGTCCCCAGTAGAATTTTGTTTCCAATCTGAGCTCTCAATCACTTCAAATTCCAATTGTTGACGTGCTATTTCCTTCTCTGTTAAACCACAGCTCGTGGGTGAAAATTGTGTCTCGTTACTGTGTAATCTATAAACCAGGTGTTCAAATGTGGCAGAGTGCCTAATGGGTTCAATTTCATAAGTGAGGTCATTTATTTGTAACACTCCCCGAAAACCCCCAAAACAGGCACTGAAAACAACCAGAGACTCGGGGGCCCCCTCCACATAACCATGATAGTAACAGTCATCTGGGATGAAGGGGTGATCTTCCAGGAGGGCATGCTGCTCTGTGTAGGTGAGCACAGGAAGATGTGCAGAAACTAATAGTTTCTTCACCCTAATGTGCACAATGTGTTTCTGGCCACCAAACAGCAGGCTGTAGGAAAGCCATCCTGGGGTCTTTGCACCTCTGCCTCTGCTGGTCACCTTCAAGGGGATCACCACTTCTGGGGAACTGAGATGTTGGGTAGGCCCAGCTTGGGAGAGGCTAGAAGGGGACAGAGACACTTCGAGCCAGAGCAGCAGAAGAGTGGCTCTCATGGATGCTCCATCCTCCATAGCCACCATTATGGAGCCATCTATCCAGAGCAGAAGAGGACAGGATGTGAGGCACTGCTTGTGTGACTCCTTCCCCCTGAGCTGCTCAGGGTGCAGGGCTGACCTTATGGATCTGTGTCCTGGCAGAGTCGGAGCATCAGAGCTGCACTGCTGAAAGGGAGAATAAAAATAATAAAATAAATAAAACAAAAGAAAGGGTGGGACAAGTGGTAGGATTAGGTTAGGAAATCAGGAGAGAAAAAGCATGGAGTAGCAAAAAAATTGAGTAATGAATCAAGAAAATTATTTGGATTTGCTTTTAAAAAATGAGAGTAGAGAGTTGGGAGTGGTATAGATAAAATGAGTCAATATTGGCCATATATTGATAATGGTTGAAGTTAGAAGACGAGTACTTACATGATTATCTCAATCTTTATAGGCAGTATGAAAATATCCATAATAAAAATAGAAAAAAAATAAAGAGACTCTGTATCTCAATTTGTTCAACACACATTTGGTTTGTATCTGTTGTACTTATGCAGGACATTATTGACAGTGATCCATTTAACTGTTTACAACAAAACTGAAGACATCAAAATCAATCACAATAATTCTATGTTGATTTGATTGGCCTTATGATTAACATTATTTTCCTTTATTTAGAGTCTCCAAATTATATTCTCCATTGTTCATAACTTTATTAGACCACAAGGTCCTTGACTATGGCTTAATGACTTTCCTTGGTCAATAAAAGAGCTCAAATTAACTGTTTGCTGATGACATGATCCTATCTTTAGAAGACCCAAAAAGTCCAGAAGACTTGTAGAATTGATAAATTTAGTAAAGTAGCAGGATACCAGATCAACATACAAAAATCAATCACTTCCCTATACTCCAATAATGAACCTTCTGAAAAAGAAATTAGGAGAATTATCCCATTCATAATAACCTCAAAAAAATCTTGAGAATTAATCTAACGAAGGATGTGAAAAACCTATACAATGAAAACTGCAGAACACTGAAGAAAGAAATTAAAGAAAACCTCGGATGGAAAGATCACTCAGGTTCTTAGACAAGCAGAATTAATATTATCAAAATGGCCTTATTACCAAAAACATTATACAAATTCAGTGCAGTTCCCATCAAAATACTAATGACATTCTTCCAGAACTACAAAAAGCAGTTCTAAAATTCATCTGGAAAAATAAGAAACTCAGAATAGTCAAAGCAATCCTGAGCAAAAAGAGCAATGCTGGAGGCATCACCATAGCAGACCTCAAATTATACTACAGAGCTATAGCAATAAAAGCAGTGTGGTACTGGAACAGAATAGAATACACAGATACTAGCACACATAAATATAGTTATCTTATACTAGACAAAGGAGCCAAAACCATACATTGGAGAATAGATAGCATTTCTTAATAAATGGTGCTGGGAAAACTGGATATCCATATGTAGAAGAATGAAACTTGACTCTCACCCTGCATGAAAGTCAACTCAAAGTGGATCAAAGACTTAGGAATTAGACCAGAAACCCTGCAACTGCTAGAAGAAAATGTAAGCCCAACACTCCAACATTTTTGGCACAGGAGCCAACTTCCTTAGCAAGACTCCTAAAGTGTAAGAAATAAAACAAACAAAAAAAAATCTAATAAATGGGATGGCATCAATTTTAAAACTTCTGCATAGAAAAGGGAATGATAATGTGAAGAGAGAACCTACAGAATGGGAGAAGATCTTTGCCACCTGCTCCTCAGATAGGGCATTAAGATCCAGAATATATAAAGAATGCAAAAAAAAAAACTTAAGTAAAAACAAATAACAAAATTAATAAATGGGCAAAAGAACTAAACAAACATATCTCAAAAAGAAGAAATACAAATGGTCAACAAATATATGAAAAAATGTTCAACATCTATAGCAATTAGGGAAATGCAAATTAAAACTACATTGAGGTTTCATCACACTCCAGTCAGAATGGCAATTATCAAGAATACAAATAAGTGTTAGCAAGGATGTAGGGGAAAAGATACACTCATTCATTGCTGGTGGTTGCAAATTAGTGCAACCACTCTGGAAAGCAGTATGGAGATTCCTAAAAAAAAAAAAAAAAAAAAATAGAAAGAAAAGAAAACCAGGAATGGAACTACCATATGACCCAGTTATCCCACTTCTCAGTATATATCCAAAAGATCTAAAATCAGCATACTACAGTGACACAGCTACATCAATGTTTATAGCAGGACAGTTCACAATTGTCAAGTTATGGAACCAACCTAGGTGCCCTTCAACAGATGAATGGCTAAAGAAAATGTAGTATATATAAACAATGGAGTATTACTCAGCCTTAAAGAAGAATGAAATTATGGCATTTGTTGGTAAATGGATGGAACTGAAGAATATCATACTAAGTGAAACAATCCAATCCCCAAACCCCAAAGTCCAGATGTTTTTTCTGATATGCAGATGCTAGTCCAAAATAAGGAGATAAAAGGAAAAAGGAGGGGGCTCCATTAAAATAGAAGAAATTGAAGTAGATTAGATGAAGGAGATTGAGGCAGGGAGGAATGGATAAGGAAAGAATAATGGAATGAATCATTCCTAACTTTTCTATGTACATATATGAATATACCACAGTGAATCTCAACATCATATATATTCACAAGACACTAATCATGTGTGTGTGTAGCAGAAAGGTCAGTAGAGTAGAGGGAAATGAATAGGGGGAGAAAAGGGGAAGTACTGGGGACTGAACTAGAACAAATTATACTCTATGCTTTTATGATTATGTCAGAATGAATCCTAATGTTCTATATAACTAATAAGAATTTTTAAAAAGTAAAAAAGCATTTATGTGTTTAGAGCATACAAAGTACAGGACACTGTAGCAGATATTAGGAAAAAACCTTGAAACAAATAATGTCAAATAGTCAATTTAGTGCAAAAACTTGGGTCAGAAGAAATAATAAGCTTTAGGGGGACTACAATATCTCATTCGATATTTTATATTGAATAAATTTAAAGTCCTATTACGCTGAGAAATGTGTCCATAAATTTCATCATAATGTCTATAAATTTCATTTTGATCTCAACTTACTGGCAAAAATTGAGCCTGTGTTAAAACAGAGAAGTAAACAGACATTTATGATATAATATGAAACAAATCAGATTGACCTGAAGCTTTTAAAGCTTATGCTTCAGGGACCCTCATTGCATAGACCTTCATAAGACCTTGGGAGGGACTCAGCACTTTATGAGACCACAATTTTAACTCATAAACAAAAGAAATGATGAAGATTCTCTGAAATTTGATAATTTGTGATTACATCTCTCACTACAAATAAATTGTGAAGCTTAAATTTTTTTCGAAACTATCAAGAAAATAAAATTTTATCAAACATGTCAGGGAAAGACAAATGACCTTCAGTTCTTACCAAAGAAAATATAACAAAAGCAATTCTCATAAGGGAACCAATTAAATAAATAATTCAAATGGTAAGGAAAGCATACTATAGAAATGTGTCAGGAATCAATAGAAGTATTGGGGAGTATCAAATTTGTGATACTTTATGGTGTTTTTAATCTTTCAAATTTTTAAATTCATAATGTGTTATGATATTCATTATTTATTTGCTTATTTATTTTTACATTTGTAATTTTGGGTCTTTTTCTTAAAGTGGGCAACTCATCCTATAGATGGGTCAAGTCCCAAACTTGAATCCATGCTGGTGATAAATGTATTGCCAGATGTTAAAGTGCAGTTTCTTATAAGAACATGGTTTCTCAACTCAAAATAGAGGTTTCTCAACTCAAGGACCTAGGCATTAGACCAGAGACCCTGTGCCTACTAGAAGAAAATGTAGGCCCAACTCTCCATCATATTGGCTTAGGAACTGACTTCCTCAACAAGATTCCAAAAGCACAAGAAGTAAAATCAAGAATCAATAAATGGGATGGAATCAAACAAAAAAGCTTCTTCACAGCAAAGGAAACAATCAAGAATGTGAAGAGAGAGCTTACAGAATGGGAAAAAATCTTTACCTCCTGCACCTCAGATAGAGAATTAATCTCCAGGATATATAAAAAACTCAAAAAATTAACATTAAAAGAACAAATAAGGGGCTGGGGTTGTGACTCAGTGATAGAGTGCTTGCCTAGCACGTGCGGGGTTGCTGGGTTCAATCCTTAGCACTACATAAAAATAAAATAAAGGTACTGTGTCCAACTACAACTAAAACAAAATATTTTTAAAAACCAAATAACCCAATCAATAAATGGACTAAGGAGTTGAACAGTCACTTCACAGAATAAGAAATACTGGGGCTGGGGTTGTGGCTCAGTGGTAGAGCACTTACCTAGTATGCATGAGGCACTGGGTTCAATCCCCAGCACCATATTAAAAAACTAAATAAACAAAATAAAGGTGTTGTGTCCATCTACAACTAAAAATATTTTTTAAAAGAAATACTTATAATCAACAATTATATGAAAAAATCTTGAACATCTCTAGCAATTAGAGAAATGCAAATTAAAATTGCACTGACATTTCATCTCACTCCAGTCAGAATGACAATTACCAAGAATACAAGCAACAATAAATGTTAACAAGGATGTAGAGAAAAAGGTACTTTCATACATTGCTGGTGGGAGTACAAATTGGCACAACCACTATGGAAAGCAGTAGGGAGATTCCTAAGAAAACTTGGAATGGAACCACCATTTGACCCAGTTATCCCACTCCTCGGACTATACCTAAAGGATTTAAAATCAGCATACTACAATGATGCAGCCACACAATAGCCAAGCTATGGAACCAACCTAGGTGCCTTCCAACAGATGAATGGGTAAAGAAAATGTGGTATGTACATATACAATGGAATATTTTTCAGCCATAAAGAAGAATGAAATTATGGCATTTGCTGGTAAATGAATGGAAATTGACACTATCAGGCCAAGTAGAATAAGCCACTTCCCCCCAAACAAAGGCTGATTCTCTCTGATATGTGGATCCTAACCCACATCAAGGGATGGAGGGGAGAGGAAGAATAGAAGTCAATTGGATTAGACAAAGGGAAATGAAGGGAAGGGAGAAGGAAGAGGAGCAGGAAGGACAGTAAAATTAATTGAACATAACTTTCCAATTATTTGAATACAT